CAACACAAACCTCCGAATAGCACAGACACACGGTACCCTAAACCCTAAACCCTAAACCCTAAACCCTAAACCCTAAACCCTAAACCCTTGGTCTATCGACGCCACACGTACAGTCTTGTGATGCAGAAATCCTAAACCCTAAACCCTCATCATTGCAGATGACTTCAACTAAACCCTAAACCCTAAACCCCTACAACACAAACCCTAAACCCTAAACCCTAAAATATATATAACACACACAAGCAAACAAACCCTAAAGCATTGTACACCTAAACCCTAAACCCTAAACAACGCGCCTGCGCTGCAGTTCCCTAACTCTCACGCCATTCTGTAGCACATGATTAGGGTTTAGGGTTTAGGGTTTAGGGTTTAGGGTTTAGGGTTTGTGTGCAGACCCTGAATGCAAGCGTCTCTTCCTGACTGTAGGAGTTCACCCAACACGCTGCAACGAATTTGCTGCTGCAGCTAACAGCAGCAGCAGCAGCACCAGCAGCAGCAGCAGCAGCAGCAGCAGCAGCAGCAGCAGCAAAGAGGAGTTTGATTCATTTGCAGCAAAAGTTGAGGGGGGCGGGCTGCGGCTTAGCGACTACCCTGAGGTGTATGCGCAGCACCTCTTCGAGCTCTACCAGCTGCAGCAGCAGCAGCAGCAGCAGCAGCAGCAGCAGCAGCAGCAGCAGCAACGGCAGCGTGTTGTCGCTGTGGGGGAGATTGGCTTGGATTATGATCGCCTTAACTTCTGCGATGCAAACACCCAAAAGCAGTACGCAAACCCTAAACCCTAAACCCTAAACCCTCGAAACACTCCAGTACCCACGTCCTGTGAGGGTTTAGGGTTTAGGGTTTAGGGTTTAGGGTTTGTGTGGTATGTGTTTAGGTGTTTTGAGTTTCAGTTGGCTTTAGGGCACGTGCTGCAGCTGCCTCTGTTCTTACACATGCGTAACGCAGCAGCAGACTTCATCGGTAAACCCTAAACCCTAAACCCTAAACCCTAAAAACCCTAAACCCTTGTGTATAGCTGCAGGCATATAAAGTTCCTTTTATTAACTCGATGAGTTTCGGGGGTTTAGGCACGTCGAATGTCGAGGGTTTAGGGTTCAGGGTTCAGGGTTTAGGGTTTAGGGTTCAGGGTTTAGGGTTTAGGGTTTAGGGTTTAGGGTTTAGGGTTTGGGGGTTTTCAGAGATCCTGCAACGCCGCGAGGGGCTGTGGAGGGGGAGGGGTGCTGTGGTGCATTCGTTTACGGGTTCTGCTGCTGAGGCTCGCCAGCTGCTGGATGCGGGGCTGTACATAGGTACAAACCCTAAACCCTAAACCCTAAACCCTAAACCCTAAACCCTGATTTGCGCTGCGGCTTTTGCATCCCTACACGCGGGAATATCGCTACTTATAGCCATTTGTTTCTACAGGGATCAGGGTTTATGAAATCTAGGGTTTAGGGTTTACGGATTGGGTTTACTAGGGTTTAGGGTTTAGGTTTTGGGCATACTAGGGTTTAGGGTTTAGGGTTTAGGGTTTGTTTCAGGTATCAATGGCTGCTCACTAAAGACAAAAGAAAACCTCGACGTCGTCCGCCAGCTGCCTCTCTCTCGCATCCTATTAGAAACCGGTGGCTAAACCCTAAACCCTAAACCCTAAACCCTAAACCCTTCGCACTCAAAGCCGAATTTGTAGCTCTTGCCTATGGCTTTACGTTTCAGCCTGCAAAGTTTAGGATTTAGGGTTTAGGGTTTAGGGTTTAGGGTTTAGGGTTTGGTGGCTGCAGACGCTCCCTGGTGTGGAATGAGGCCAACGCATGCGGGGTTTGCTCTTCTGAATCAAGAGCAGGTAGAGTTTTGAGGGTTTAGGGTTTAGGGTTTAGGGTTTAGGGTTTACGGCTGAGCTGCGCTGAAACAGGCAAACGGTGGAGAGTCTAGGGTTTAGGGTTTAGGGTTTAGGGTTTGTGTTTCAGAAGTCTACTCTAGATGGAGTAAAACCCGAGAAGTGGACAAACAACAGCCAAGTTAAGGGGCGCAACGAACCCTGCAATATACGGTGATCTAGGGTTTAGGGTTTAGGGTTTAGGGTTTAGGGTTTAGGGTTTAGTGGTTGAACATTACAACGTAGAAAGCGGGGGTTGAGCTGGGGGTTCAGGGTTCGGAGAATGCGGTGGTTTGTACACAACTCAGTGCCGGCAAGGCCTAGGGTTTAGGGTTTAGGGTTTAGGGGCTAGGGTTTAGGGTTTAGGGTTTAGGGTTTGCGCGCAGGGCAGTTGGGGAAGTCGTCCGTCAGCTCGTGGCTCCGGAGCTCTCAGAAGAGGATTTCTGTTGCCAGTAAACCCTAAACCCTAAACCCCAAACCCTAAACCCTAAACCCTAAACCCTTAATGGAGTATTTTGTTGCGTCTCAGTGTCGCGGTGGCTTTATGTCTAGCCATCAACTCAGAATTAGGGTTTAGGGTTTAGGGTTTAGGGTTTAGGGTTTCATAGGTGTGTTCTGCTCAGGATATACAAGAACACCCTGTCGGTTTTCCCTCTCCTCGCTGAGCAGCAGTGACGCAGCAAAACCCTAAACCCTAGACCCTAAACCCTAAACCCTAAACCCTAAACCCTAAACCCTAGCTGGTTAGGATGTGCGGGGATAGCAGCAGCAGAAGCAAACGCTTAGCTGCTGCAGATGCCGTTGGTTTTAATATCTTTTATTATATTAATATACTTATATACTACTCGCTGCATCGTGCATATAGAGACAAACAATACAGAGACAAAAAAGAAAAATAAACAGAGACAATGAATAAACAGGCAATAGAGAGAGAAAGAGAAACAGAAACAAAGAAAACCCAGGCAAAAGAAAGAAGCAGATGGAGATAAAGAAAACATATAAAAAGAGAGATACAGACACAGACAAAGAAAACAGAAACAGGAGAGAGATATATATAGACACCGATACAAAGAATACAGACAGATACAGCTAACACAGATATATATATATATATATATATATTATATATATATATATATATATATATATATATATATATATATATGGTAGCCTTTACCCCTGCTCCGTATTTCTATTGCAGAAACTCGAAATCTATAAAAGTTGAATTGTTATAAGATAAAGCACGGAGAGAATACAGCATAGAAAGGAGAGAAAGATGATGGTAATATAAAAAGACAAATAACATTTTTTTTTATTTTTTAATAAAAAATATAAATATAAAAACAAAGAAAATAAAAAATTCATATTTCGTATACTTCTCCGATAAAGACAGAAAAACAACAGCTGCAGCTGCAGGCGGGTCAACAGTACCCGCACAGAACCTCTCAATGCGTGTTTTTAATATTTAATTTTTATTTTTTTTTTTAATTTATAAACAAAAATAATTAATAAAGTTTATTGAAATAAATATTGGTGGCTAGATACGCTCTGTCGCTACTCGTGTTTCAGGTCTCGGTGTTGCATAGAGCAGCAACCTTCTGCGCCGCTGCTGCGGCGTGCAGAGAAGGAAAGCGTTGGCTTTTAACTGAATAAACGACAAAATAAATAAAAAATTTAATTGAATTTGTAAAATAAACAAAAAGAAATAAATATTGTTGCTAGAAAAGAAGCCACAAACAGAAGAATATCGAGAGATGAATGATGGACCTGTATAGTAGTAGTAGTAACGCAGCCAGTAGTAGTGGCTGCAGTATATTCATATTTTCGTCTTCTGGGGGAAAAAACCATCAAAAAGTTTATTTCCGCGTTTTATATTAATATTTTGAGTATAAGTATTCTTTTCATTCAAAAGAATTCTTCATTTGACGCCGAGAATACCCCGATCTCACCCTTATCCTCGCGGTGATATTTATTCAACGTTTCAGTAACACGCGGTGCTCGTGCTGCAGTATTCTGAATATAAGCCGATCAATTTACCTTTTCTTTTATTTTTATTGTAATTTCTCCTTTCATTGAGTTTTTTCCGCGGCTGTGTGTTCAGTATTCTCGTCACACATATGTATACATACATCTACACGCTGGGCCTGCAGCAGCAGCAGCAGCAGCAGCAGCAGCAGCAGCAGCAACCTGAACAGACCAGACCGCCTCGGTGAGACAACTCACCGCGGAGAATTAAAACAACAGAAAACAGAAAACAAGATATGAAGGAAAACCCAACAAAAGCGGGGGGCAGAGGGGCCCTCCTGTTTATTTTGTTTAGGGTTTAGTGCAGCAGCAACAGCAACAGCAACAGCAGCTGAGACAGCTGCTGCGGCCATCTTTATAATAAATTTATCGAGGGAGCAGAGACAAAGCGAGAGAAGTAGCATATTATTCCTTTCATAACAATTGTTTCTTGTATATTTTTGATTTCCTTTTTTTTTTTTTTCTTTTTATTGGCGATGGCGGTGGTGCCCCCCCCCTGGGGTGTCGGTGGTGCAGCTACGTTGCTGCCGCTTTCTGCGTGTGCGTTTCTGTGTTCTTTAATATTAGGAAATAAAGAAGAAGAGGAGAATGAAGATATTCTTCTTGAGCATATATTTCTCGAGGAGGAGAGAGAAACAAAAGAAGCAAACAGCTGCGGTGTACTCAGTGGTAGGGGTCAAAGGCTTACATCCGCAGACTTCATAGGAAACCACCGCGTCATCGCTATACGCCGCAGTTTATATAAACTAACTCCCCCCACCAGCTCTCGCATGCATAGGCTGCGTGGTGCTGGTGATATATTTACTTCTTTCTTAGATATTTTAGGTAAACATACACAGCATGATGGTGGGGGAGAAGGAGGGCCCCTACGTATGGGGTTGCTGCTGCCTGTAAGTACAGACGCGCTGCTGCTGGGTGCTGCAGGCTTGCAGCCTATTGAGGATTTGCTGCTGCTGCCTCGGCGGCCTTCTGCTGCTTTAGAGCTGCTGCGGGATCTGCTGCAGTTCAGCATCGAGATAGAAAACAGCAAAAAAAAACAAAAAATACAAATAAACAACGAAGAAGACATAAAACACAAATGCATGCACACACAAACACAACACACCAATCAAGACCTGATGCACCTGCAGCAGCAGATACACCAACAGCTGCAGCAGGAACTGCAGCAAGAACTGCAGCAAGAGCTGCAGCAAGAGCTGCAGCACGAGCTGCAGCAGCAGGAGGGAGAGTTGTCGCTGTCTGGCGAAATAGCTGCAGCAGCAGATGCATGCACAGACATTGATTCAGAGGGAGGCAGCATCGAGTCAGCAGCAGCAGNATAGCTGCAGCAGCAGATGCATGCACAGACATTGATTCAGAGGGAGGCAGCATCGAGTCAGCAGCAGCAGGAGATACTGCTGCTGCTGCTGCTGCTGCAGCTGCTGCAGCAGCAGGGGAAGCGGAGTGTATAGAAACCACGATGACGGCGGAGGAGGCCGAGGCTGCTGCTGCTGCTGCTGCAGCAGCAGCAGCAGCAGCAGCAGAACTGCAGGCATCTTTGTGTGTAAAGAAAGAAAAGCTGTCGTCGGCTCTGAG